GTAGAACAAATTTTATCTGACAAGATAGAGATGGTATCAAAAGTGGATTTACAACTGACAGCCCAAGGGAATGACAGAGAAAAGGATGTTTCACTGGATCTACAAAAGAAACTGGCTAGGGTTTTAAAATTTAAAAGGGAAATACAAATGACAAACCGAGAGTGACCTGGATAATTTTTTCCTATTGGATTTACAAAAGAGGCTTGTTAAAGAGGCTTGAAGACAAAGAAGAAATGAAGAGAAATCAAATCCTATGACAATATTTGAATGAACTAAAGATTAAGACTGTTAGAAGAAAAAGGACGGAATATAAAATTGGTTTATTTGATCAATAAAAGGTTTATTTGACTAAAACAAAATACTGAAGAGAAATCAAATCCTATGACAATATTTGAATGAACTAAAGATTAAGACTGTTAGAAGAAAAAGGACGGAATATAAAATTGGTTTATTTGATCAATAAAAGGTTTATTTGACTAAAACAAAATACGTTGTTACTTCTGGCAACCCTTTATTGACTTTCTGCTGATGCCAGGACTGAAAAGATGATGTTTCATGGATTTGTTTATAGATAAGAAATGGGATATGGGATGAAGAGATAAATGTTTGTAACTTTAAAGGGGGTGAAGAGTCACTAAATTTGTTGTGATGAAGGTTGGAAGTCGCTTCTTTCTTTCTTTCTTTCTTTCTTTCTTTCTTTCTTTCTTTCTTTCTTTCTTTCTTTCTTTCTTCTTTTCCTTTGCACTTTCACTCCTTCCATTTTCTTTTCTTTAAGTTTAGTTTGTATTCAGTTTTACTATTATAATCAAAATTAATAAAAATGATATACAAAAAAAAAAAAAAAAGGAAATGGGCCTTCTCTCTCGGGATCCCTGTCCTATGGAACAGATTCCCCCACCAGAGATTCAGATGGTCCTGATCCCCAGGCGTTGAGACCGGGCGGTTAGTTCCTCAACTACGCTTTTAGTGGGTTAATTTTGTCTCTTTTATCCTGTGTTCATTCAAGCTGTTTTATCAGCTGCCCAGAATTGCTTAAGATAGGTGGCCATATAAATAGGCTTAATAAATACATTAAAAATCTTGCAATGCAATGCCACAAGGCTGCTTCCATCTTGCTGACCAAAGGAGCAAGATCTTGTGGACACCATGGTTTGGGAGCTCTTTGTTTCTGCAAGCCATGCCTCTTATCCGGATGAATACGTATTCAGGTCTTCTCCATAGGAATGCGTATTCTATGAAAATAATATTTATTACCACCACTATAGAATACCATATCTTTTCTATAAAAAAGACCTACCCCATGTTTGATTAATTCTGCAGTTGTAACTGTTTTCCCATTTTAGGACTGTCAGAGTCCAAGAATTTTCCTGGGGAGAGGTAAATCAATCAATCAATCAATCAATCAATCAATCAGAGCATCCATAAATTAAGCTGGGTCCTTTGGAATCAGTTACAAGATGCTTAGCGCAAGGCCTCTAAATTGTTACGTGTCATCATGGAGGGGTTCCCCTGATTTGGCGGTTTCTACAAGGTCATCATGATCGCCTGATGTGTTTATAGCAGACACTGTGCTTTGAATCTCAGGAGTTTTGGGATGGATAAAAGGAAGAATTTCCCATGGCATGTGACCAGTTAGCAAGGTGTACTGATGGCCAAGAGGTTTTGATTGATTGATTGATTGATTGATTGATTGATTATGTACCATCAAGTTGTTAAAAGGACTGGGCAAACACATGGAAACGTGTCACCTCCATCTCATCTGGAGGCGGGATTTTCCTGGATAGGCTCCTTGTCCATTTTCCAAGGAACTTCTGATCCATCTCAGATGGGAGAACCAGACGGTTGGGCTTGATGGATCCTCATAAAACAGCCCTTAGAGTCTCTCCTCTCCTTTTCTCCCACTCCCCCCTTTGCATGATACTCACAACCAACTGCTGCTCCAGATCTTTAATTCTGCTCTGGAAGGTGGCTACTTCCAGCTCACTCTCTGCCTTTGGTGAGAAGAACCCTTTAGGGGAAGCACCACTGGAGAGCTCTGAAAGGTCCTTCAGAGCTTCTTTCAGTTTGAAGACTTCTTTCGAGAGCTCTGTGATCTGCCGAGGAGGAATGGGAAAGAGGTGACACCTGGGCAACCATCATTTTCACATCCAGTAAGCAACACGTGGGCATACATATATCTTTGCATACATACATATCCTTTTGAGGTAAGCAATATTATGCAAAGCCAGAAAAGGAGTAAGAAATAGTACGCCAAATGAATTAAGGCCTGGGATAAGAAAAAGAGAAGGAAATACGGCTAACTCCAGTTTACACCAACACCATCCACTGTATCTTTCTCCTAGCAAACTATCCTTCCTTCCACCACATCCCTCCACAATTTCATACTCTACCTTTTGATCTTTAGATTTCTCACTTCTCCTTGACAACCATGACTTTCTCATCTCCTCTCAACCCATTCACTCTTCCTTGACATATTTATTTTCGGATTCAATCCTCATTTATTGTCTCTATGCGACCAAGCTACCTCAGTGCATTTCTTTCATACTGCTCAATCCTGTATTCAGTCTATATTGTTTGATTGATTGATTGATTTGATTTGATTTGTTTTTTAGGCTGCTCCAATCTGTACAACTGGGCGGCTTACAAAATGTAACAATAAAACACAACAAAACACAGAATATATCACCCAAAAGAAAAGTCCGGAGAAAATCAACAATCAATTAAACAACCGGAACATCCCACAAGGGGTCTCCCACCCACTCAAACCCAGGGCCTGGGGATGGAGCCAGGTATTAAGGGCTTGCTTAAACAAGGATGGGGCTGTATGAATCCTAGGTGGAATGGTGTTCTGCCATAACACAGAAGATGCACTTCCTGGGTCACCAAAAGGTAACAGTGGGGCCTGGAGCACGCCAGTTCTGTCAAACTATTATTTAATACCAATTCCAGTAAGCTGGAATGTAATATGAATGCTGGAGCCCTTCCCCATAAGCTATTCCAAGAATTTGGCTGGAGGATCATTAACATGTTTATATGGTATTCCAAAGTCATATGAATAGGCTCTTAAGCTACACCCAAAACATACAATCTAATACTATATGAAGAATTATTGGTTTACCAATGCATGGGAGATAGCGACGAAGATAATTTTTCAACCCTGGAAAGATAGGACGAGTCTGAGAGCCCCATTTCAGATGAACAAAAAGACCACCTCCTGTGGCAGAGGCTTTCACCTCCCCAAGGCTCACCTTCTTGTCCTTTTCCCTGACCAGCTTGGCTGAGTCCTCAATGTGGCTGTGCAGCTCCTGGAGGCGTTCAGACTCATCCCGCAAGCTCTGCAGCTGCTTCTCGGCTGCCGCTAACTGAGCCTCGGCCGCGTGCTTCTCGCTCTTCATGAAGAGAGCCTCCCGCTGCACCTGGAAGACTTCTGCGCAGGTGCGTTCGTGCTTGCACCCCAGGTCACTCAGCTTCACGTTCAGCACATCGATTTCACCCTGCAGGCTTGCCCTCAGCTGTTCGTGAGATTCCTTGGACACTGAGCCTTGATGGACCTTGTCCAGCTCCGCCTGGAGGTGTGAGGCCTCCTGGGCTTTAACTTTGAGCTCCTGTTCCAACAGCTTGACCTTGGCCTTCAGCTCCCACAGGGTGCCCTCCAAGGCTTCCTTGGCACGAGCATGCTCTGCCAGGGGCACGGACTCTTGCCTGTAGCTCTCTGTTGTCTTCTGCAGTTCTACTAGCTCAGTCTGGGTTGAACTATATTTCTCTTTCATCTCCAGTAACCTCTTTTCAGCATCTGAGAGGGAAGCCTTCAATTTCCCCACCAGGTCTTCATGCTCCAGCCTAGAGATATACTGGGAAGCCAGCCTCTCCTTTGTGGCTTGAAGCTCCTCTTCCAGTTTCTCCCGCCCTTCTCGGAGCTGCTCCACGTGAGCCTTCACTTCTTCGTATTGCTTTGTCATGGCCTCCAGCTGCTCTCGCAATTTGCCAGTCTCCTCCTGAAGGGCCTGGCTGACTGAAGAACTTCCTTCAGGCATCTCGTGGCTTTTCTTCCCCAAGGAGTCTCTCAGTTCCCTTAGTTCTGTTTCCGCAGAGGTACACCTCATTAGAAGCGCCTCCTTCTCCTTGGACACCACATCCAAGGAGCCAGCAAGCGTGGCTTTCATCTCCTCATATGCCTCAGTGGAGCAGCCTTGGGTAACTCTTTCTTCCTGAGCCCCAAGCAGCCCCTCCAAATCCTTCACCTTCTGATCTTGCTCCTCCAGCTCCTCTTGAGTCTGATGCAAAGCAGCCTTCACAGTCTCGAGTTCAGTTCTGGAACTCTCAGCAGCCTCTTTGTCCTCCACAGACAGGATCCCCAGCTCAATCTGATCTTCAAGGAACTTCACTTCAGCTAAAGCTGCCTGATATTTCTCCTGGGTCTTGCTTAACTCATTCACTAGCTCTTCCATCTCTTCTCTAGTCACCTGGTTTAATTTGCTCTTTTCTCCCGGTTCCAAGCCAGCTTTATTTTTCATTGCTTGGTTCCTCCTGATCTGATTGTCTGGGCAGCTGATCTTCTCCAAAGCTTCTTTAAGAGCTGTTATTTGCTTCTCATAATCATCCTTCAGCTGTTCATAAGCCTCTGCTGGGATGAGTTTACAAGAGGTTCCACCTGTTGGGTTGCCTTCAAGGGACTTCAAAACCTCCTGAGCCTCCATGTGCTGTTCTTTCAGCTTCTCAAACTCTGACCTGAGCGAGTCATACAAAATGACAGGAATGAAGTCCCCAGAAGTGTCAGCATCGCTCTCATCCTTCTCGTACTTCTCCAGAATCTGCACAAAACAGAAAGTTACACGGTAGAGAGAGGAAAAAAACCACAGAATGTTCAGGGGAGAGTTTAATGCAGAATCTGACCAACTGTGTTGCATGCAGATTCCAAGCTCTGTCCTTGGGGGGGTCTCCAGCCCAAAGGATCCCTCCACTGCATATAGCTACAACTCCAGGAGACCATATTGTGTTGTGCTAGTGGTTTGCAAGGAATCCATGATGAACCACTGATGGTTCATCATGGTTGCTGTTGCCAGAAAATAATTTGCTGGTAACTGGCAATTCATGTCTACATCTAGGATGTAATAGTGATCTGAATTTTCCTCCCATCTAACTGGGGAGAGAGTCCAGATTCACTGGATTAGCTAAACGAAGATTTTAAAAAAAAACCTCATGGGGCTTCAACCACATTTCTGAAACTGTTCCAGGTTTAGAAGCCATGTCATTTACATGGTTCCATATCTACTTTCATAGGATCATGGAACAGTAGAGTTGGAAGGGACCACAAAGAACGCCTAGTCCAGCCTCTACAGTGTGCAAGAAAACTAATTCAACCATTCATGAGAAGTGGCTGTCCAGCCTCTTCTTAACAC